AAAATGAGTATTCTACATTGCAAAGTAGGCAGGATTATTGTAGCAATACGGTAATCCTCTCGCGCTCACTTTTTAAACTCCAAAATATCTTTCCATTCAGCTAGCGTCCAAATCGCATCGTGTTCCGTTCGACTGTCCGAGGAAACGTCAGGAAGAGCACGTCGTTCTTCGTTTTCCATTTGAGCTGCTTCTTCCAGCGATGCTACGTCACCAAACTGAATTTTTTTATTTTATTTTTCAGGTTCTTTGGAAAATCGTCCTGTATATTCCTTACAGCTGCATTGTTCTGACAGGCTCTTACAAGCAACTTATGATTTCTGAAAGAAAATCCATTGAAATGTCGCAACACTTGCACAGCATCTTCGCTGCGATAAAAGCGGACGGTCCTGGAAAGAAAAAGATTGAACCAGTTCTGCATTTGTGACTGTAGGATTACCCTTACCATTTTCTATATGTGATATGGATGTCTAAAATAGGAAGATTTGAATTAATTTCGCGATGAATAAGACTGCGCACAACATGTTGCTGCCCTAGAAACGTTCCTTGTACTCGAAGGGGTGGAGTACGGTAGAAGTACGGTAACTTACCATATGCTAGCCTTGGAACGTTCAAAAAGATTAGCTGAGCTTTGCAAAGTTTGTCTGAATGCAGTAGTTCAGCCATGGGAGAATCTCGCTGTAAAGAGAGCCTCTACTCGTTCATACTTCGAGATACAGTCTAATATATTCTCCGCTAGAATATAGTGCACTTGCGGTGCTGAGATTGGGCGACAACATTTGCGCGTGAACAAACAGCCACGCCTGTAATGCCAGTATTTTGCGCGCGCAGGTGGCCCGCATTACAGGCGCAGGTATTTATTAACGCGCAAATGTGGCCGCCCAATCGCGGCACCGCAGCCGCACTATAATGAGCGGAAAATTACTAGAATCTATCGCTGCTACCTGTCGCTCTTGCATGCTCTGTCGCAGTTCTGGATCACTGTAAACGCGGTCCCAAAAGTCCCAAGTGTCTTCATTATTTCTCAGCACATCTGGTGAATCACCGCCATCATCTTCGTTCTCTTCAGCATCGCCACGATTTGCTTCCGACGACTCAGAGGCATTCTGCTCTTCCTTCACTTGCACTGCACGACTGGTGTCACCACTCGCGTCACCACCGCTCCTGCCACTAGCATGTGCACTGGAGCCACCACATGATACGTCCACGCCTATAGGCGCTTTTTTGGATACCATAATTGCCTGGGGTGTCTGTAGACGAATGTCACGACGTGGTGACAATGGTTGAAGTTGATGCGATACGCGTCTCATAGGCAGCGGATACTGTAGTGGTATGCCCACATTGTCGACGAATTGTGGCGTTGCATTCAGTGACATCGGGAAGAATTTTGGAGCTGTTACGGTAGGATCGTTCTGAGCGGGGCGGCTACTAACGCCTGGTAAGTTAACCACGGTTGAGAGCGAGCTACTGCGAGGGTAAAAATTCGGTGTTCGTGTTTGGTAGGCACTTCCTCCGCGATAATATGTAGTTACGGGTACAGCTCCACCTCGACTGCTTGTTACAATGTTTGAATTGCTTCTCCATGCATAATAGCTGGCTCCTGTAACACTCCCGTCTTACTGTAGGTAAACTGTAGGATTCGCTCGCCTATGTCTTACTTTATACGGTAGGCTTGGGCAGCACTTTTTTGTCAAAAGCGCAAATCAAACTTCATTGCCTTCGTAGTGTGGCCGGTATTCATCAATCTCTCGGTTTCTGATCGGGCGTATTTTATGTTACCAACGAGGCGCTATTGCCCGATCGGGCGCCAGTTTGTAGCGGTAGCACAGCCCGACCAGAGATCAGGAGATTGATAAATTGCCCCAGAAGTCAATAGGGTACCGTCGTCTTCGCTGCATTTCTTTTCGCACAGATGAACGAAATGGCATACTGTAAGGAGTTCCGGACAACTACCACAAAATAGACGTTTCTGCACTTCGCAGTTTGTAACAGTAGTCCACGTAGGAGAACGTTGTGCGCAACGCCAGTATTCGAGATCTGTGCTTTATGTATTGCATGCTATATTCGTCGCGATGTTTTTCAATCAAAAGAACCCTTCCTTCGAAATTTTTAGCGAATAGCAAAGAATTGCAAGCGATGTGATTTCTGAGCTTTTAGGGTATCCTAAGTTGCCTGCGGTAGGCCTTCTGTTTTCCTCTAGTTACCCCTGCTACAGTAGCCCTACCGTAATCGGCACGACCAATCTGACTAAAACCTGAACATACCTCCTCTAGGTGTTGACGAATTCCTGATCTGATATCCTGTACTACAACCACCGCGACCAGCTTGAAATCCTCCGCGTGCGTTCGGAGAACTTGCGCCACGAGACGAATACGATGTGAACACGGTCCCACCACGATCATGACATCGGGATGTGCTATTAGCTACGACAATCTGTGGCACGTCATTAGTGATGACCAGACGTCGTGACGATGCCCATGTCATTGTGCCACTGCTGC